GGTCAGTGTGCATGGTAGAAATCAGAAGATATGAGAAGATTAGAGCTTTTTGTTTATATTCATTTATGGGACGCAAGCATTGCTTGCTGGAGCTGGCATTTATTGCTCCGACCATTATTTGCGCGTTGAGAACATGGTGGTGAACTGCCTTGTTAAAGCATTGCAATCCGAAGACTCTCAATGGCGGAGGTCCAGGATTTTGACCCAGCAACATTGAAGGAAGAGCTGATATATTTCCACGTTGGTATAATGTGTTGGGTTTCGTTGGGGAACTTGCAGGGAATGGTGTTCCCGTTTATCTGCTGCCCTTGTCCTTCTAGATGGAAGTGATCATGAGTTTTGGAAGGTGCTGTCGGAGGATCTTAGGTGATTTTCTGCAGTGCATCTTGTAGACAGTACACACTGCTGTGACGGTACCTGAGCAGCGGACGGAATGGATATTTGTGAATGTAGCACCAATAGAGTGGGATCTGCTTTGTCCCTGGATGAAGTTAAGCTTCACAAGTGTTGTCGGAGCTGCCCCATCCTTAACCAGGGGGGAGTATCCCATCACATTCCTGACTTGCACCTTGTTGATGGTGGGACAGGCTTTGGGGAGTCGGGGGTGTGTGGAGTCAGGAGGTGAAGTACTCACTGCAGGATTCCCAGCCTCTGACCTGCTCTTGCAGCCACAGGATTGATTTGGCTGGATCCAGTTCAGTTTCTGGAAAATGGTAACCCTCAGGATGTTGATAGGACGGGGTTCAGTAATGGTAACACCATTGAACATGAAGGGACTGAAGATGAAATTCTCTCTCTTGGGAGATGATAACCCCCAAGATATTGATAGTGGAGGAGGATTCAGTAATAATAACATCCCCATTTCTAACGTTATGATGGAGGGAAGTTCATCGATGATGCGACTGAAAATGATTGTTCCGAGGACACTACCCTTCGAAACTCCTGCAGAGATGTCCTGAAGCTGAGATGACTAACCTCCAACAATCATGACCGTTTTCCTGTGAGCCAAGTATGACTCAGGCATGGCTATGTCAACTGGGTAAACCAACCGGGGCTCTAAAACAACAGGAGATGGCATCCTGGGGTGATAAATCAAGAATCCAAACATAAACTGTGCTAGTTTATGATGTTGATAAAGGTAGTTCAATCTGAACTGGTAAGCCAGTGAAGTAATGGATGAGGGGCTAATTGCCTATGCTATTGCACAGAAGACAATCCATCAAAAGGCGAGACTGCGTGGAGGCAATTACACTGTCTCTTGATTACGTTCAGATTACACAAACTAGCGAAAGCAACATAGGACTGTAAAAGCTTCTATGGCTGGGGTGGGGGAGAAAACTACACTACGGCCCAGTTGCAGGCAGATATGGGAGAATTTATTATGGGGTGAGAGAGAGAGTTTGGAGAAACAAAGTGATTCCTTTCTTTCTGTCTTGACTGGGGAAGACATAAGAGTTCTCCCAGAAGTAGAGAGAAAAGTCCCTATGGAGGAATGAGAAGTTGAAGGAAATTGGAAGGACATTGTATTGCAGAAACCAATGAGGCTACAAGCCAAAGGAGGGGGTGATGATGATCAGTCAATGCAGTGGTAAACATCTTCTGAAATGGGGTGGAAAAGAGAGGGAGAAAGACAGTGCGATGGGGACAGAGAGAGAGACAGCAACATGGGGAAAGTGGGGAAATGACCAAAACAGAGAGAGAGTGACGAGAGAAGGATAGAGATACAGAGGCCGCAACACAAGAGGTGAGAGCAGATTTAGGCCATACAGCCCATTGGGTCTGCTCCGCCACTGAGACTGTAGCTGATCCTCCTTGACTTCCATATTCCTGCCTTTAATCCTCAGTTAAAAATCTCCTTCAGCCTTGAACAATGACAGCCCCCATCATAAAGAACAGAAGAGAATAAACAGCACAGGAACAGGCCCTCCAGCCCTCCAAGCCTGTGCTGACCGTCATGCCCTGACTAAACTATTCGGCCCGTATACCTCTATTCCCTCCCTATTTCTGTAACCATCCAGATGCCTCTTAAATACCGCCAATGTACCAGCTTCCACCACCTCCTCTGGCATTGCATTCCAGGCTCCTATCACTCTCCGCAACATTCTGATGAACCTTCTCTGCACATTTTCCAAAGCTTCCACATTCTTCTGGTAGCATCGCGACCAAAACTGCACACAATACTCCAAATGCGGTCTAAAAAGGGTTTTATATAGCTGCGACTTGGTTTGCCAGCTCTTGTGCCCCATGCGCTAGCCAATGAAGGCAAGCAAGACATATGCCTTCTTAATCACCTTGGCTAAAATCACATGGGATTCAGGGTGGCCTGGCTAGATGGATAAATAGAAGACTTGGCAATAGAAGACAGAGGGTAATGGTGGAAGAGTGTTTTTCAAAATGGAGACCGGTAACTAGTGGTATTCCACAGGATCAGTCTTAGGTTGTCTGTTGTTTGCAGTATATGTAAATGATCTGGAGGAAAATATGGGTGGTCTGATTAGTAAGTTTGCAGGTGATATGAAGATTGTTGGAGTTGCTGATAATGCCAACGATTGTGAAAGGATACAACAGGATTTAGATAGATTGGCGACTTGGGCACAGAAATGGCAGATGGAGTTTAATCCAGACAAATGCGACGTGATGCATTTTGGAGTATCAAATTTAGGTGTGAATTATACTGTAAATGCCAGAGCCCTTGGGAACATTAACGTGGGTGTGCGGGTCCACAGTTCCCTGAAAGTGGCAACACCTCATTTTCCTCTTGGGGACCCTGCAACTCTCCAGGCTCAATATCGAGTTCAATAATTTTAGGGCTTAAACTCTCCCACACACCAGGCCTTGTTATCACATAGCCTGCCATTACACACTACCCGTTGTTAGTCACTAACAGTCCCCGTTAACAACTGTTCACCCGCCCAGCCAGATCATTATCAACTCCTTTGTCTAGCCAACTGTTCTTCTCTCTTTTCAGGCTCTAACCTATCATTTACTCCCTACCCCATCCCCCTCCCTATTTTCTGCATATAAACTGACATTTTCCTAGATACCATCGGTTCTGAGGAAGGGTCACCAGACCCGAAACGTTAACTCTGACTTTTTTGCTTCACAGATGCAGCCACACTTGCTGAGCTTTTCCAGCAACTTCTGATTTTGTTCCTAACATTGTGATTTCACCCTTCCTATTCCTGAGCTCCACCTATAATGGCTCACTGCAAGATCCTTCCAATGTTCTCCTCCCTTAGTACAGCTGTGATGTGATCCCTAATCAGCAATGCAACTCCAGCCAGCCCTTTTGTTTCCTTTACTGTCCCATCTAAAACAGCAATATCCTGGAATATTAAGCTGCCAGTCCTGTTCCTCCTTTAACCATGTGTCTGTAATGGCAATAACATCATAATTCCATGCTCTTAGATCATCCGCCTTACCTGCTATATTTCTCGCATTTGAAGTAAATGCACTCCAGACCTCCAGTCCCTCTGAGCCCCGCAACTTCCCTTGCCTGCTCTTACTCTGCGCTATGCATATCTCAGTCTCTCCTTTGTCCCCAGTCCCTGCATTTACTGGCCTGTTGTACCAGTTCCCTTGCCTCTGCCACACTAGTTTAAACCCTCCCAAAGAGCTCTAGCAAACCTCCCGCCCAGCATATTGGTGCCCCTCCAGTTCAGGTACAAATGATCCTTCGTATACAGGTCCCACCTTCCCCAGACACATCCCTTTGATCCATATATCTAAAGCCCTCCCTCCTACACCAATTCTGTAGCCATGGTACTCTCTCTCTGTTCCTAGCCTCACTAGCCCGTGGCATGGATAGTAATCCTGAGATTATTACTCAGATGGTCTGCTTTTTAGCTCCCTACCTAACTCCCCTGAATTGTCCACACAGGACCTCTTCCCACTTTTTCCCCCATGTAATTTGTGCCAATGTGAACAGACTTCTGTCTGTTTTCCCTCCAGTCTCAGGATATCCTGTACCCACTCCGAGACATCCATGACTCTGGCATCAGGGAGGCAACACACCATCCTAGAGTCTTGTTCACAGCCACAGAAATGCCTGTCTGTGCACCTGACTATCGAGTCACCTACTACGATTGCTCGCCTGGACATTGCCCCACCCTGCTCTACAGCGGAACTAGTTATGGTGCCATAGGCCTAGCTGCTGCTTGTACTGTCTCCCGAGAGGCCAATCACCTGCCACACTGTATCCAAGACGATATACCTGTTTGAGAGGGGAATATCCACAGGAGACTCCTGCACTCCCTGCCTGCCTCTCCTGGTAGTCACCCATCTATTTGTCTGGACCTGTGGTGTGACCACCTCCCTAAAGCTAGTGTCTATCACTCTCTCTGCCCCCTGTATGCACTGCAGGGTGTCCAGCTGCTTCTCCGACCGAACCACACGGTCTGTGAGGAGTTGCAGCTGGTTTACACGTCCTGAAGACGTACTATCGGGGACACCGGGCTGCTCCCCGATTTCCTACATCAGACAGGATCCCACAGATTACCCTGCAACTCCCCTGCACCCCCCACCCCACCAACCCCGCTTTGGAGAGGGAAGAAGTTTCTCCTCACCTCTGTCTGCCTCATTCAGAGACCAGAGACCTTCTGGTCCTAGACTTTCCCACATGGGGAAAACAACCTCTGCACCTCTCCCTTGTCAAGTCACCCCCCCACCTAGAATCTTCAATTAGCTCGCCTCTCATTCTTCTAAACTCCAACAAGTACGTACCCAACCTCTCCTCATAAGACAGTCCCCCCACACCCCGGGATCAGCTGAGTGAACCTGCTTCGGACTGGCTCCGACGTCAGTCAGTCTTTCATCAGGTACGGGGCCCCAAAACTTCACGCAGTATTCCGGCTCATTTTAGTAAAAATCCTCCCTACTTTTAGACTCCGTACCCGTTGGAACAAACTTGACAGTCCATTTGCCTTCTCTATCCCCTGCTGAACCCGGATGCGCGCTTGTTTCTTTGAGATTCCAGACAGGGTCTCCCAGCTCCCTGTTACCTGTAGTCACCGGTCAATGCTGGGAGCGACTCCCTCCAACACCGTAACCCTTCCGGCTCCCAGTGGCATGGGTCCCTCGACACCGCATCCTCACCGGCCGCCTGATCTCCTGCAAGAATTGGGGGTGGGCGCGTGTGATGGGGGGGTGGGGTTTAAAAACAGGGAAGTGACGCATACTGCAGTTAAACAGCACAGCCTGACTGCTGGATGGAAGGAAGCCCAGGGTTGTGGGGAAGAAGTATGGAAGAGAACTGGCTGGATCAGAGACAGAGCAGCGAAGATCCCACCTCCCCCACTACCACCTCCCCTCCACCCCCGCCCCCCAAAATAAATCAAACCAAGGCCTTCTCCTGAATACTTGAAGTGTGCCATGGAGCACAGGACTGAGCAGAGTCAGACTGCCAAGCTCTTCTCTTCCCACCCCAAAACCCGGACCCCATGCCCCCCCGCCAATGTCGGTTAGGCACTCACCTGTCACTGGACCCCGACAGGATAAGTTGGAGATGGACGGTTGAAGAGGAAGTGTGTCAAAGAGTTGCTGCGTGATACGTCGCACTCGTGCGCTGGCATCGTAATACAAGCGGGCGGCAGGGGGGTCAAGGAGGGAGTCGTGGGCGAGCTGTAAACACACACAGGGAGTGGGGGAGTGGGTGGGGGAGGTGTGAGGGGCAGGTCATCACCATATCTGGGAAAGTTCATCACGCGCAGACCACATCTCCGGTGTGGATCTCACCGTCAGAGCTTGCTGGATGCTAAGCTCCTCAAGGTTGGCGCTCCGGGGACCAGCCGAGGAATCTCTGGGGCTCTCCTCTTCCAGTGCCGCCACAGTCTGAGCAGTTTGACAGCGAGAGAGAGAGAGAGAGAGAGTGAGAGAGAGAGAGACTTTGGGAAGTTAGTGAGCTCTCTCCCAGCGCCAGCAATTCGGACATCACCTCCAATACGGGCACCTACCCTGTACCCCCCCAGCCCCACCCCACCACCGCCTAGATTTGTCCCTGACAGTTAACCCACAAACCCCTCCCGACCCACGACCTCCTCTGCCAAACGCCCCGACCCAAGTACTCACGTGGGCAACGTTCCGCAGGGTGGCACACTCCTGGCGGGCGAGGGCGCCATCAAAGACCAACCGGTCCGTGCCTCGGAGGCGGACTCCATCCATCACCAGCTTCAGGTTGGCCAGAGACAGGGCGGAGGCTGTGGAAGGTGGGGGGGGGGGGGGGGGGGTTGTTGGGAGCACTGGCATTACACAGAGAGATCCCACCACCAAAACAGCGCCCCCATCGAAAATCCCTCTGCACCAAAGGACACCCACAGATTCACTCACCTTCCCTCCGATGGGGAAGGGACTCCCTATCTTGGTCTCTGATGGGCAACCCCTCATCCAAGATCGCCCACACCCTATTCCAAGACTCTCCCACAAGGAGAAAACAACCTCTTCACATCTCCCCCATCAAGAACGCACCCCCCCACCCAAATGTCTTCAATAAAGTTGCACTTTCCCGAGATTCAGCACCGAGGGAGGGCCGCGCCGTCGGAGAGTCAGCATCGAGGGAGGGCCGCGGTCTCTGAGTACGGACCAGACCTCCCTTCATGAGGTCCCCGGGATCACAGCCAGGTGTACCTTCTCTGGGTTGCCTCCGATTCCCGTCTATCTTTTCTAGGGTACACAGCCCGCAAAGCTGTTTGTGTCATTCCAGCTGCCGTGTGGACTTTTTTAGGCAAGATTTTTCCCGACAGGAGTGGGTGCTATTCCATTCCTCCTTACTCCTCTTCACCCCTTCCCAACGCCAATCCAACCTCCCAGCTCCAAAGTGCACACTGACCTCTTAGCTTGTCCAGGGTGTCTTCCTGCCCCATCTTGGATTTCCGTTGTCTGTCCGGGCCCCTCTCTGTGGCCTTGGGCGGGTGATGGACGCTCTTGTTCTCTTTCCTGGTGGCGACAAGGGCGAGACACTTGGGATCGCACTGTGCAACGCGTCAACGCCCACCCACTGTCCCCGGAACATCATCTCGTTCGGAAGGTTGACGCTGAGGGAGTGCTGCGCCGTAGGAGAGTCGGCACTGAGGCAGTGCCGCGCTGTCAGACAATTGGCGCTGAGAGAGTGCTGTGCTGTCGGACAGGCAGTGCTGAGGGAGCAGTTACTGAGGTAATTATAACTGAAGTACCTGGTGTTGCTCTGAATTGACTGTGGGATGAGTTCATGAGGCGTCCAGGAATCCTGAGGAAACAAAAATTCAGAAAGTGTTCACAAACTGGAAACTTCCAAACTTTTAAATATCAACACATCTCCACCGTTATACAGGAACAGGAGGCCATTCAGCCCCTCAAGCCTATTCCTTAAATAGAGAGGCAAGGAGGAAAAGAAACAGGGAGATGGACAGACAGAGGGAGAGAGAGATGTTAAAAAAAGTGACGAGAGAAAGAAAGAGCGAGCGAGAGAGCGCGCGAGGGGGAGGAGACAGAGAGCGCGCGAGGGGGAGGAGACAGAGAGCGCGCGAGGGGGAGGAGACAGAGAGCGCGCGAGGGGGAGGAGACAGAGAGCGCGCGAGGGGGAGGAGACAGAGAGCGCGCGAGGGGGAGGAGACAGAGAGCGCGCGAGGGGGAG